AGTCAGTTTTCTGTGCCAAGGCACTCTGTATATACAGTCAATCTTTCTGCTCTGGATGCACCAAGCTAAGACAAATTGAAGATGATGTTCTTGTAGAAATTGTAGTTGTGAGTACAAGAAATCATCTGCAAACCTGAACAGTAATATCACAAAGGAAAGATCGTGGAAAGCACTTCTCACAACCAAAGTCTACTCAGTGCTTCAGAGTTTGTTTTATCCTCCCAGGCGGATTTGAGTATACTTTATATTTTAGCTATTATTATTGTAAGCAAACTAAGATTTTTTCTTTCTTTCTTTTTAGCGTAACAGTGCCGACTCCTGAGGATGGGGAAATTTTGTTTGATTTCAGCAAAAATCGTATCAATGATGAGGTCCTTAAATTACTGCTAGACTTGGTATGTATGCAGATGGAATGTTAAACCTTTTTTTCTCTTTGCTTAAGAGTATTGAAAAAATATATATATTTGTATTTTCTGATTGAAAAAGGGTATGATACCTGATAATGTTAGCACAGAATAATGATTATTTCTTTCTAGGCCCATGCAAGAAATGTTGAAAAGTCGAGGGATGCCATGTTTTCCGGTGAAAAGATCAACTTCACTGAAAACCGTGCTGTCCTTCACATTGCCCTCCGTAACCGATCTAATGCACCAGTCATGGTTGATGGAAGTGATGTAATGCCTGCAGTTAATGCTGTTTTGGCACACATGAAAGATTTTTGCGGCAGGGTAAGAGGATTGCTTGTATGAGTTGTCTAAAATTGCATGAATTAGGATTAGTTATTAATCTGACATACACTGTTATATGTAAAGCTCATTGATACAGATGTTTATGATGCATCAAAATATACAGTAATTGAATGCACTATAGAATAAACAGTATATATAAAAGACTTTTTCTCTCTTTTCTTTTTCTTTTTTTCTTTCTCTTCCTCTTCCTCTTATGTTTCTGTTTTTCTCTCTCAATTTACTGATTTCCTTTTCCTTTTTTTCTTTGTTCCTTTTTCTGTTTTCTTCCATTTGTCCTTCTTAATTTTATTTTTTTTTCTTTTGTTACATTTATAAATTTTGAAATGGTTTTAATTATGTTTTCAGGTTATTTCAGGTGAATGGAAAGGCTACACTGGTAAATCTATCACTGATGTTGTTAATATTGGTATTGGAGGCTCAGATCTGGGACCACTGATGGTGACAGAAGCATTGAAACCTTACGCCATTGGACCCAATGTCCATTTTGTGTCCAATATTGATGGGACACACATGGCAAAGACCTTGAAGGTTTGTACATAAATATATGAATTTTGATTGCTAGAATATTCTGATAATTACAAATATTTTTTTGGTTAATCTTTATGGTATAGGATACACTAAGCTAGGGCAATATGAAGATTATATTCTTGTAGAGGACTAAAAGTTGTAGTTGTCAGTACAAGAAATAATCTGCAGACATGAATGGTAATGCCACAAATAAAGGAAAAGGATCATGGAAAGTGCCACTTACTAAGTCCACTCAGTGCTCCCGAGTTTGTTCCGTCTTACAGTGCATGCCAAAGTGAAGAAAGTGTTTCCTGGAGGGTGTTAGGGGGCAGAATCCCCATCAATCCAACCCTGTGCCCGAAGGGCACACACAGTCACAGGAACTTAGATTGTTGAATAAATTTTACATGTGGATTTGGGGACTTAGTCTGTGGTGAATGTGTCCATGCTTTAAAGGATTACCTATTTTTCTATATTGAAGTTACATGGCTCTTTTATTTTGCAGTTATTGAATGCTGAGACCACCCTCTTCATCATTGCCTCCAAGACTTTTACAACACAGGAGACCATCACTAATGCAACTTCAGCCAAGAAATGGTTCCTTGATGCTGCAAAAGATGTAAGCTTATTTCCTGTGTTCAAATGCATTTGATTTAGAATGCTTAAAGCACATCTTTATTTTTTAGATGCTTTTCCAGGATGATTTTATTGACTTTATTTATTCAGATTTTTTTATTATTGACAGTTGTACCTTTGAGTGAATGATGCAACTATTTGTAATTAATATTTTGTCTTTAGCCTTCAGCTGTGGCCAAGCACTTCATTGCGCTGTCAACCAATGGTCCAAAAGTGAAGGATTTCGGCATTGATGAAGCAAATATGTTTGAATTCTGGGATTGGGTTGGTGGCCGGTACTCTCTGTGGTCTGCTATTGGAATGTCCATTGCCGTCCACATTGGATTTGACAACTTTGAAAAGCTGTTGGCTGGTGCTCATTTTATGGACAATCATTTCAAGACTGCCCCTCTGGAGAAGAACGTAAGTATTTACTGAATGCATTATCAAGTCTTTAATCATTGGCCTGTAATTGGGAGTAAACAATTGATAATGGTATCAAATGTCTTTTCTGTTATGATGTTCTTTTCTTTAAGTTAAATAAAAAATTGATTGTTGGAATTCCAAAATGTATTTGTGATAGCAAACCTCATGAGGTGTTACATGAAAAAAAAAAACTCATTTTTCAGATTCCTGTATTGCTTGCACTTCTTGGTGTATGGTACCATAATTTCTATGGTGCTGAAACCCATGCCTTGTTGCCATATGACCAGTAC